ATTATGTAGTTTTAGCTGAGTGATACAATTGTTTAGTTTACTGAGCACTTTGTATAACCATAACACCTTCAAATCAAACTATGAGAGTACTCTGTGAACATTAATTAAATTCTGTGACACCTCCTAGGTGGAGGCAAGTCCTGTTCACATGCTTTGCATGGGGAAAAGGTTGCACAGAGAAACTGGTGGTGCAGTTCCTCAGTATGCATCTTCTGTGCCAGTCCCCCCTCACCCCCAGCAATTCTTCTCTTAATGAACAAAAAACAGTCTCATTCTGGCCATATTTTGCTGCTTACTAATTTGCTTGTTTTCTAATAGCATAAAAACTAAACATTCTCTAATTGGGAAAAAAACCCACTTCTTTTTAAACTGAGATTCAATCACTAATCATGGGCTATTAAATCCCAGATTATTAAATCACTAATTGCAGATATTAAATTCTGTCACTTCCTAGGCAAAGTAAGTAACACCCAGTTTATATTAAGAAAATTAGATGTCAAAAAGATGGCTCTGTGAAAGAGTTATATAAAAAAACCCACTAAAGCCGTATCAGTGTGATGATGAAGTTAAGATTTTCAGTTATGCACAAGACAGCAGATTCAGTGTTAGCTGTAATTCTGTACCTCTTCATCTATATATCATTATAGAGCTCCTCAATATACCTTTTGTCTCTTCAAGCTTTTTGACACTTTTAAAAAACAGACTGTTCAATTGGTTTAATTCTTTCACTGCCTCTTACAGCCATGAGAATATTTTTCCCTGGCTCATCTTTTGTCTGCAAATGGGTTTGCTTACTATAATGATGGGAAATAATTGGCTCTCTATATCAGAGCTATTTCTTTCTGTGGTGCTCATCACAGAATTTATTTCATCAAGCTGTAAAGTAAACAGGATTCTCTTATCCCTCATTTCACATGTGAGAAACTGAGACTACAGCCAAGCATTTTTTTCAAGCGGCCACCTTGAATTTACTCAGACTGAACACTAATAGCTCTAAATGAATTTCTGCAGACTTTAGTTTGTGTATTGTGGCATGAAGATTGTCCTGTAAGAGTAGAATTCAAACTATTTTTTAGATTTTGTCTTCTTTTAAGGCTGTCAGAGGCTTATAATTGTACTTAACCCAGGCATTTGAACCAGCAATTAAGAAGTGAAGGTCTTTTTATGTCCTTTTTGATACTTTTGCACCAGTCAATCCCATTTAATAAGTCTTAAAAGTCAAGTGTGGCAAACAGTTGAACATACTTTTCTTTTTCACTGTGCCTGTCTGAATAACTGCATTTTTCCCCTTGAATTTACAGCTTCTGTCAGTTCTGTACTCTTAAGAGGCAGTTTAGCTGATTTAGGGAGTGAATCAGTAGATTTAATGGACTACACTGATCTTACTTTAAACAGCTAATTTTCAATATCCTTTGGGCTATTTGAGACAAGCAGGAAAAGTGCTGCTGATCTGATCTGATTACATTTCATTGTAGTCTCCAATGATTGAGCGTTTAGTATGTTTGAATTGGGAGAAGTATTTCGGGTTTTAGGCTTCCAGTTTATATGAATTTCAGTTTAGTAAAAGCTGGAAGTAGTTTGACATGTGATGTCTTTATAAAGTTAGGTAGGCAGAGTCCAAGTGGGGCAAATGAAAACAAGAAATAACAAATTAAGAAGACCTAGCCTGATAAAATGAAAGATGTTGACTTCTGCTCAGCTTCATCTGAGAGCAGAACTAGCTGCTTGCCTGAATTCTCACTGTACAGCTCAGGCAATCTCAAGGATCTGTGTAACTTTGCAGCTGTTGCTGCACCTAATTAAGAGTACTGTCAATCTGGTCTTCTCATCACTAAGATGAATTTAAAATGTAGCTATGTGCATAGCTTTAGTCTACATCTAATGTAGCTATTTATTCTGGGATGATTCTGTTGTAAGAGTTTTCATGTCAGTGACCAAGCAAAAAGGGTAGGTTTTTGCTCAGTTGTATGTGGGGTACTGTCTTGGTTTAACCCCTACAGCCAAGCCCCACACTGCTGCTCACTCACTCCCCATGATGGGATGGGGGAGAGATTTGGAAGGGTAAAAGTGGGGAAACTCATAGATTGAGATAAAGACAGTTTAATAGCTAAAGCATAAGGTGCTGGTGTAAGCAAAATAAAACAAGAGATTCATTTACCAATTCCCGTGGGCAGCAGATGTTCAGCCATTCCCAGGAGAGCAGGGCTCCATCACATCAAAAGGTTGCTTTGAAAGACAGACTCCATCTCTCTAAATGTCACCCTATTCCTCCTTCTTCCCCCAGCTTTACATGCTGAGCATGGTGCCATATGGTGTGGGATATCCCTCTGGTCACTTGGGGTCACCTGCCCCAGCTGTGTCCCCTCCTGTGCATCATCAGCTCACTGGCAGGTGGGGTGGAGGGAGAAGCAGAGACAGCCTTGGCACTGTGTGAGCCACTCAGCCATAATGAAACCATCCCTGTGTTACCAGCATTGTTTTCAACACAAATCCAAAACATATCCCTATACTTCCTACTATAAAGAAATGTAACTCTACCCCAGACCCAGCATAGATATATGTGAAAATAGCTATTCAGAAGGAAAGCATTGCAGTACAGATTTTCACATCCCCTTTCAGTAGCGATACTCCTTATGCTTATCCACATGCAACAGGAGTGCTCTGTTATTCCAAAATTGGATAATATCAGTACAAGAAAGTTGGAATGTCAAATCATTCTGTCTTCTGATGACTGATAACTATTCCATAAACTAAATTTTTGCAGATACTGTCCCATGGTAGTAAGGAAGGTTGCTTTTTTCTTGAATTGCAGTAAGATATTACTAAGTGTTTATACATGACGCAAAATGTTAATGATCTCTATAAATACAATGATAATAAAAAAATGTAGTCTTCCTATGTATGCATTAGAGCCTTTATTTCTTAATTGATCAATAGATCTTATTTGTCATTTCAGGCAATGCCATTCACTGCACGTAACCTTTGGTTGTTTTATTCTGTCAGTGTATCCCAGTGTGTTTTCTAGGTACCTTTATGATTTCTATTCGAAATTACCAAGATACTTTCTGGTACTGGTTTGTATGGATACTATAGTTTTGAAATGCTTCTTGTTTTTGACAAACCTCCTCTCTGTAAAGCCTCTCTGAAGTTTCAGGGACAAATTAATATGAACTTTTTGGTAAAGATCTTCAGTACGCACGTCTCTTTCGATAGACTTCTTTATGTAGCCTATCTTTAGATGGCACAGGTTTGTTGTACTTATTTTAAAAGTTGATTAATGTTCAGGCTTCGGGAGACAAACAAATTTGTAATAGTTGAGATCCTCACAGGTGTCTAATACTTTTGTGTTTAATTAAATCAGCGTGCATCCCTTCTGTTAAAGCATAAGGTTATTTTAAGTGTCATTTCCTTGACACTTCCATTAGAATTAGATGTTAAATTCTGAATTTGCCATCGGAGGAGATAGTCACTGTTGTGTGGGATGATGAGTACCTTTCCTCCTTCTCTCTCCTTCCATGTCAGCACAGATCCCTTCTGGAGAAATGAAGTACTAGCTAAGCATAAGATGTATAAAGTAGTAAAGACAATTCTTCAGAAAGACCTATGCCAACTCTACTGTACAAAAAATTCAGTTGCTCTTACCTTGTGAAAGTCTGCTATGTTTGTGCATGTGTTCTCATATATCTTCTGTAGAGTCATGCCTAATTTCTTTGGATACCTGTCTAACCTCATTGCAATTTCCTCAACTGTAGAAGTATCAAGAAACTTTCACATAACATGAACTAAGCAGCAGGTCTATTCTATTGTAGCTGTTGATTTTTTTGCAGCCATTATTCAAATCCCCAGGTATTTGCCATTTATTTGAATGATTGATAGTAGACAAATTAGGCCACAAGCTTGGGGCAGGGTGAAGTATTTTCTGGTGTATTTTTACAGCATTTGCTGAGATGAGGCCTTGATCACAGGTCAGGTTTAAGTCCCACTGCAATAAGTATCTTTCATTATTGGAATGCAGTGTTGCCCTGTTTAGTAGTGTCTAGGACAGTGCTGGTTCTGGCAGTGGTACTGACCCTCTCCTCAGTTTCCCACCATGTCAGTGTGCTGTTCCACAGTTGGCATGTGAGACTTGAGGTCTCTGTCTTGGGAAGGGAAAGCTATGTCTCTGCCAGTAGGACTGCGAAGATGCAATACATGTTTGTGTTCTTTGACTGCAGCACATGGTAGATGAGGTCAGAAGGGCACCTGTTCTTCATTTATGTTGCCTCTAAGTCATTGGTAATCCTGAGGGGGGATGATAGTAGTAGGCAAAAAAAAAGGGTAATGAAATCTAGTTTTTCAATACCTGACAGTTCAGTCAGCATATCTCATGTATGACTTAGTAAGAGGCCTGTCTGTGGTGGCTGGGTGCCATGGGAGACTAGTCAGCAGAAAGCATTGCATACCTCTCTCAAGTTAAAACCACATGGATCGAAGAGGTTTGCACTGTTGCTGTCTCTCTTTGTGCTAGATAATGAATCCTTTCCAGCATGCTTTGTATTTTTGCTGACAGGATACTTCAGCTCACTAATTACTAATCATTCTATTTGAGCTATACCAATACTTGTCACTCCTACTACTTCAGTGTTTGGCAGACTTGCAGTTGAAGAACAGATCTGGAAAACAAGGTGAGAGGAGAAAAAGTGAATACAAGGTATCTATCTTCAGTCTTGCTCACATGCTGCAGTGCTTCCAGTCCTTAAATGTTACTTACCTGCTGAGAAGCAGATGCAGTAATGCCTGTCTTAGTCATTTATGTAGCTATATGGATAACTACTAGGTTTTTCTTCCTTCTTGTTGAACTTCTCATACAGAGTAGATGAAAGTTCATAAACCCAATGGTGATATTGAATTTCTTGTGAAAAAAAAATCAGTTTGGAATCATATGTACTTTAAATTATGGATCCATCAAGGTGACCCTATATTTTTTTTTTTTTTTTTTTTTTTTTGCTGTTTGTCTGCAGAAGCTGGAAAAATCTAACTTGGATAACTGGGAGAACATCAGAGGACCCAGTCTGTGGGAAGATTCCAGGACAGTTCAGAAACAACGGCGGGAAGCTCTCCGTCTCAAGACTGAGTGACTGAGAAAGCCACCTTTGGTGCCTCTGGGAAAAAAAAAGTCTCATGCTGGACTGTCTTAATTTTTAATCCAGTGTCAGGAAGAGACATGGGAGCATTTGCACTGAACAATTCAGCTGGTGTATATATAAGTAACAGTGAGATCAGTCCAAAAGGCACTGTATTATATGAAGCTCTTTGCATTAGTTTGTATAGAGTACCACAGGCTGTATATGTGAATTTTCAATTAAAAAAAAGCTGATTATTCTACTGAGAATATCCCATTGTTTTTCAGTCTCTAACATTCAAAATTGCTTCAGCAAGGAATAACATTTCAAGAGTCACTTGTCAGTACCAGAAGTTGTCATCCTAATGAGAACAACAGTGCTGTCATCTAGATGTGTGTGACCAGATAAGTGCTGCTTCAGGGAGCCCTCTGCATGACTTCAGGCTCTTTAGCTTGGAAGGGACTCCACAGGATTACGAGCTGTTCAGAACAGTGAGTCCAGTTTTGGCTAAATAATAGTCTTGTGTTTCATTTCCAAGGACTGTGTAAAGGCATGTACTGAGTGTCAGCTGATAATTGGTCAAATAACATTTGTTTAGCTGGTTAAATTGTTTAGAGGTTAAATTTTTATGATTAGTTTATCAGTACCTTTATGCAGGCTGGACCTCTGCTCTGGAACCTCTCAGTTTAAATTGGAAGAACTCTTCCTTGCAAAGCGCTGTGCTGTTTCTCTGTGAGTAAATATTGTAGCAGAATCTTCTTGAACCACTACATAGTGGCAAAGCTTATCTTACATGTATATTTGTGCACGTGCATAGAAACTTTTGTGTTTCAATCAATTCTTCTGAAATGCTTGTCTTTTTGTATTTGTCTTTGTGTGCTAAGTCTTTGCTGTTAGAGGACATTGTGCTAACATTCAGGACCCTTCTGCCGAGAGAGTTCAATGAAGAAGCACCTACTCAATTTTTCAAATGAAATGAAGTGTTTGATAAGGTGTTGCAACAGACTTGTGAAACTCATCAGAGGAATGGAGCAATAGAGCACACATTAACAGCAGAGTCTCGTTTCAAAACTCTCAGTGACACCTATTTGTAAATCCTTTTGGAACTGTCTTTGGAAAAAGTGTGGCCTTACTCCCCTCTGCAGGATGTGTCAGCTGTAAGCTGAATGTCCTTTTGGACACTTCTTTTAGGGTAGCCTCCTCATGTAGATCTTCTTTCAGCAGTTCGTTTTCTTTAGACTGACAGTGGTGAGGTCCAGTCTTTCACTTAAGAGGAAGAATTAACATTAATTTTTAGGGAGTTTTAAAGGAATTCGTAAAGCATCACATGAAATCTTAGGCATGTTTTCTTCTGATAGAGTTGTGAAAACCATCAGATTGTGGTGGATGAAATCTGGAACAAAGTTGGAGCTGTGTGTTTGTGTATGTCTCTGTTCAATGTCATAGATATCTCTGCTTCTAAATCAAAGTATGAATGAATGAAACCACTCAGAACAGGAACAAGAGGAACAATGCAAGAGTAGGTAATAATAAATGCTATAGGGAAACCAGTGAAAAGCTAGAATACAGAGGCATTAAGCTGTGCTAGACCTAGACAAGGAGGAAATTGGTTTAATTGTTATGTCATTAGGCAAATAAAATATAAATATGACAACTAGGGAGTAGTTAATACTGCATTACTTTTTAAGAACTTTTTCAACTCTTAAATTCAAGTTGAGATGCAGTTCCACGGACTGTAAGATTGATCATTCGAAGGACATCAGAGCTTTGGCTACACTGACAGAGTTCTCTCAGGACTCTTGCTGCATCACTGCTACTGTTACAGTGAGAGCTAGACCATTGGAAATGTATCTTTACATTCCCCACTGGTATGGACTCTGCAAACTCACTACCTTTTTGATAGGATGCACATCTTCCTTCTCCCTGCTTTGAGTGAAGGAGATGGGAAGCTGCCCTTGCTTTGCATATGGAGAGGCGTGCTCAGCTCCCAGGCTGGTATGATGGCTCACAATATGGACCAGTGCTGCTCCTGGAATAAACACATGGCTTTCTAAGAACAGCATGTGGAGGAGAAGCAGCCCCTTTCTCTACGGGAAGAAGCAAAGATGATTTCTCTTAAAGAAATAAATGACCTTAAGATTGTCTGTTTTCTTGATGAACAAAACACTCACTGAAATATCCTGTGTATTTTTATTTATTTGATATTCTGCAAAGACAGTTCTGTCTTATTTCAGCAGGTTTGGAATGTAGTTGTAAATAATTGCTTACATGGAGCAATATCTCATGTCCTGACTTAGGACCCAATCTTAGTTGATTGTTTGCTGGTTGTGAGGTTGCCTTTCCCTTTTTCTTAGGCACTAAATCCTGTTGTTTCTGAGCGCATATTTGTAACTACCTTTGAAGTGGCCTCTCTGAAAAGCAATGGATTTATCTTGGCATCTCTGAGAAAAAAATTATATGCATTTTGAAGACTTTCCAACCTGCCTTTCTCTTCAACTTCCATTTTAGAAGACAGCCTATATCTATTGATTGTCCACTAAAATAAAACCTCACCATGTTTTTTAATGCTGACTTATTTTAATAACTTTTTATAATGTTGACTTATTTATGAATTATAAAAAAAACCCCAAACCAACAATAGCTGGTACGGAAGCTGTACTTTTCATAAAGTGGGAAGGGCTATTCCAGCAATTCATCTTTATTGCCATGCACTTGAACAATGGCTTGATGTTTTATGCTGTGCTTTTCTTACCCATCGAATTGGAATAATACTTTTGAAAGGCATGTTGAGAGCCAATTAAGTCTCTTAAATTGTCATGCAACCTAGAGTAGAAGGCACTCCAGAAATGTGGAGAATTACAGTTCATAATAGTAGCAGGAGAAGCAAACTTCAGTTAGTTCCGAATTCATGCTCAGTTTGGCTGCTTATTTGAACTATCCTTTTGAAAGCCAGTTAGAGCACTTCTAGTTATCTTTAAGGGTCCTGAAGTCAACTTTGTTCAGCTCCTGAATCATAATTCCAAACATCTGTGAGTGGAGGGGTTCAGAGATAATTAATACAATTGTCAGTCTGAGACATTGGTTGACATTTTTGCATCTTCTTTAGTAACTGGCGTACATAGGTCTGAAGAGAATGAAAACAAGACTTTAGTCAGAGGTGTTCACTATTACAAAGGTAAAAGAGAGGACTGAAGAAGCCAGATCTTCTAATCAGTGTTGCTGAAATTAAGGAAGCAAGCCCGGCTAGGTGTTTGTGTGTATGTGGGCTGAAAAATCAGTTTCAAAATCCCTGTTCTGACAGTAAAGGAGAAGGTGTGTATCTCTCTCCTAGAAACTGTAGCAAGGTTGGTTTTTGGGATCTTCCATAACAAGAAAAGCAGCAGGACATAGAATTGGAAGAAATCTGGGGCACCTGTCTCCAGGGACAAGGAGAGGTTAGCACAGCACCACAGATACGTGGGTATCTGCCTGGACGGTTCCTGGTGGCAGCTGTCTGCAGCTCAAAATGCTGCCCAGACCTCTGTGTGAGATCTGCCCTGTGGATCCTACTTACTGAGAGTTGTTTTCCTAAAGTACTTTGAATGTGCAGATGAGTGGGTAACCCAAAATGCTCAACATCTCAGTTCAGCTGTAACAGATGAAGGAGAGTGTTACTAAAAGCTGTAGCTGCTGTGGTGCAAAAAAAGATTTCAAAACTACTGAATAGCACAGCAGTTGAATTTTGAAGTGCCTTGATACATCTGGAGGAGCAGCTGGATGTTAAAAACTTACAGAATCAGAATGCAGAGAGCAATCTCACTCATAATGATCTTCCAAGGTCTTGAAAAAGGCTCCAGTAGCTGAAAAAGATAGGTCATGATGCAATAAGACATGAGTGATGGGAGTTTTAGATCAGAATATAGAATGCAGAAATTTCTGAAAAGCAACTTAAGTCTATCCTATCATCAGCTAGGGACCAGTCCCAAAAAGCAGAGGAAGAAATCCATTTCTTCACAGAGAAGCGGCAATTTAGAAAAATTTGAAGGTCAGTGTTCATTTGATGTTTTACATGGACACTTGGTGTTTCACTGTGCTTGCCTGTGTGTGGGTGAAACTCAAAACAGTTTTCACCTGTGTGAAATAATGTGAAATACCTACACAGACCCTTGTACTTCTTGATGATCTTGCATTTGCTCTGACTTGCTATGTGTGCATTTCCAGCTTGAATCCAGGGCAAGTTTCATTTTATATTCTGTATTTTCCAGAGGCACTTTTTTCTGCAAGAAATGGAAAGCCTAATATTATCCTTTGCTACAAACTATGTCCACTTAAAAAAAAAAAAAAAAATACTTGAAGTCTTAGGAAAGCAGAATAACTATTTTTACATAAAGATGGTTAAATAATTTTCCTTAAAGCTTTTATGGTTAGAAAGGCTGCTTACTGCCAGTGTTTTCAGTGGAAAACCACCTTTCTTCTTTCAGTGAAGTAAGGTTCTCAAAAAAATTTCCACTCTTATTTTAGACTAGCTGAGTAGAAGCCTTTAATCAAAGGAAGGTAATTGCTTAGTATTAGGCCTTCATTTCTTACAAGGGCTTGCAACCAGACAGCCAACACACAAATAGTCTCTAGACTTAGAAACAAAAGCTCCATACAGATGTTTTTCTTAAAATTTGTACTCTCCACAGGAGCCAAAAGCGGTCTTTCGTACCACTGGAATCAGACTGACCATATTTTCTTGTTAAGTATGTGTTTAACTACATGTGTAACTGTCTTGCAGGCAAATAAAGTTTCACCCTCACTGTTTCTATGCAGCCTGGGTGTTAAAATCAAGTGCAACAGGAGGTAGTACTTCAGAAAGGACATATGAAATATGTTTATGCATTGCAAATGTGAATGGTATTGCCACTGTCTCTGTAGAAGAAATCCATTGCCTTTCACCCAGCATGTTTGGAGCCTGGCACGATGTGCCTCAGCTGGTGGAAAAAATGACCGTAGCTTTTTAACATGTCTGTTTCAAGGTACTTGATGAGATCCTTGATGTTCAATACCAACTCCATTGTGTGTGTTCAGTATCAAATCCATTATGGTATCAACCTCAAGGAGGCCTGGTGGCTCCCAGGATGATCCCTTGAGGACCGGGGCAAACCCAGCTCTCTGCCTTACAGATCTGTTCTCCCTCCTCTTTCTGTCCTGTCTTCCAGTGTTCCTCCCAAAAGGTAACAACTCATTCTGTGAGCTGTTCTTTTCTAATGAAACTGGCTGTAAAATGTCACCTTCTTTTTTAAAG